GGGGGGGGGGGGGGGGGGGTTCTGTTAGCACACTGGTTCTGGGGTCCCTCCTCCATGACTATTGTCCCACTTGTCCTGATTCAACACGCCTCACTGCATTTTAGACTCTGAAAGCGGCCTGTCCTATGCTTGATTAAACATTACCACCGAGTGCTTCTTGTGGAAGGGAAACTCACCACTGATCTTTCAGGATGTCCAAGCATATGGCACCAGTGACGGAGCTGATGTTCGGATGCCATATTTTAGTGATGAAGCGTACCTGCGCAGAAGGTTAGGGACAGGAGTGTCAGGCGCGATACTGGGGTGTGGCCACTAGGGGCAGACCTAAACCCCAGGGAAGGCGGCGAGGGGGACATTTACCAGTCAGACATGAAGAACACACAAATCCAAAACTGATGACTACACTGAGTTTGTGTGTAAAATCACATGCAGGCAGTGAGTGTTTGGTCCTGACAAAGACCAGGTAACCATTATTTCTATAAAATTATACTAGAGGGGAAAAGAGAGACTTCCAGAGACAAATGGAGGGGAAAAAGAAATAAAATTAGCTGAAATTACGCACACACAGTAAAATCCAGTTATAGCGGACTCGCTTATAACGGAATATCATCTATAACGGATGAGGTCCGCTGGTCCCGGCCGTGCGTGTTTAAGAACATGCAGAAAAAGCATCGGATATAGCGGACTCGCATATAACGGAATTTCGCTTATAACGGACAAACAATTTGGTCCCCAGGGCCGCTTTTAGCTGTAGTTTTGTTCGGCTATAACGGACATACAGGCTCCGCCTACAAGGCGTGTGGCGTGCCGGTGATATCCAGCGCAGATACGTATTCAGGATTATTAATAGTCAAGCATCTGATCAGGTAAAGTTGGATTACGACATGAACAATATAATAATCTATACCACAAGTGTGGCTGCTGGGGTGTGGCATGAGTAAATGGTGTCCTGTAGTTGTGTTCTGGGCAAACAGCAACTCTGGATATAACGGACTGTTTTGCCAGGTCCCTTAAAGTCCATTATTACGGGATTTTACTGTATCAGCAAAACGAAAAGAGGATCATCGCAAACACCCACCTTCGGAGGGTTAAATGGATAAGTTTCTGGAATTTTTATTTCTAGTTGATATCTGCCACCTACAAAAGGGAAAAGGGGTAATGTTAAAAAGTGAAATAGTGCAAATACACAGAACCCTAACGCACACTCGCTTTAAGCTATTAAGAGGAGCTGCAAGATGCTGGAACTCTACCAATAGTGTCTGTCAAAGAAGCTGTTGGTGTTGCCGCGACAACAGACACAAAGCAGTGCCGACAAATCACTGGCTTTTTCTCAGTATCGTCTCTGTGGAATCCAGAATATATCCATGCAGTGGATATCCATACAGTTTTTGTTAAATTTCTCACACTGTGCGAGTCCAGCAGCCAGGACGAGAATGGTTACGATTGGCTTTGAGCCGCATGTACAGTCCACACAATTGCAGCAGAGGTAAACTTTGCACTGATTTTATTTTAACATATTACACAACCTTGTAAAGGAACCATCATTAAAATTACCCAGCTTGCTAAGTTTTGTTTCCTATGACAGAGTTATAAATTTTTATTTTTTTTTTAAAAAGTTTAACTTATTGGTGATCTCCATTTGGCAGAATTTTATTGCGGGAAACCCCCTCCCCACTCAGCAATTCTTATCCTGGGAACTCCTCCCCTGCACGCGCCTAATTTTATCACCAAGATATAAAAATACCAGAATAGCACTGTTATTTGCAGATACTGTATACCAGAGCATAAAGTCGAGATGGTACGACGGCATGAAAGATCAGACACCACCAAAGCCTACGACCCATCTGACTGTCGCGGGGCATGTGCATAACATTCAGTGTCAACATAAACATCGCACATCACGCAGGCCTGTCCGGCACAGCGTTAAAGTCACGGAAAAAAGTGAACGTGAAGTCGCATCTACTGCTATGCATACTGCAGTTACACCATGATGTCATTGCCAAAAGGCAGAATGTTAGAGGCACTTTGCTTGCAGCTCTAATAGTTATCCACTAATCGAACCCTTGGCAACTTTGATATGTGACTTTCCTGAAAAGAGATCACCAAGACACCACTGTGTACTACTGCCCCGTACGCTAAACTGGGGGGGGGGCTTTGTCCCTTCCACCCTTTGCTACTTTTTCAGTGTAAACAGAACCCAAAACGACACTCCACCGCTGCCTAGAGCGTTATCTGCATCAGAAGCCGCCCCACCCCCCAGCCAAGAACGCAGCTGGCCCCCACAGGGTCACTCTTAGGCAGAGGGCATGTGGGGACATTGTGTGGCTCAGCAGGTTATGACGCTGTGTCTGTGAACGGAAGGTCGCTGGTTCGAATCCCAGGATGGGCAGAGTGATACCGCTGCTGCTCCCCTGTGTTAAGACCTTTAACCCCCATTTGCTCCAAGGCCCGTCGTACCCGGCTGCTTACCATGCTTTCACAATGGTACATTTCTTTAGATAAAAGTCTGTTAAATACATTTTTTGAAATGTTTAAAAAAAAAAAACATGTAGCACTTGTGACGGCCAGAAAGAGAACAGGATCAGCACAACATCTGTCAGCGTCACTGCCTAGACTGGGAAGGCCTGCAGGTTCAGGTGTGAAATGTGAACTGACAAGGACAGCTTCAGAAATTCCACAGCGGCTTGGAAAACCCTAAACGTACCCAATAGCGGGGAAGGCAGGTACAGAGAGGGTTCCACTCACCTTCATAGGGCGTGTCGGGGGGTCCCGCTATCTCCCCCTTCAGCTCTGTGAAATTCTCATCTACGAGGTCAACTTTTATCTGGTTTTTGCTCGTCTGTCGAGAGAAGCACCAGAACGGAGACAAAGATGAGTGACACCCAGAGGAAGCGGAAACATCCCAATGAAAACATTAAGCCACCGTAGTAACCACAATTCTAATGGTGAGTATAATGTATTATACTGAAAAATGAGTAAACCGGAAGCGGCATTAAGTCAGAGTACACAGCGGTATTTCAACTGTGCAGTGTGACAGGTGGTGGTATATTAGCATTCTGTGATCATTTTAAAATCGAGGGGGAAAAAATTAAAATACAAATAATCACTCAGCGGGTGTAATTAGAGCAGCACAGTGAAAACATCACTTAAAAGCACAAACGTGCCAACAGAATTCCACTGTAAACCTTTCGCATTACAAACAGCATCCTGCTGTGGGCTGGGCTGAGGCCGGTGATTCAAAACGAATGTACAGGGCACTTAATGGAAAATTATGAATGCAAACACATAGAAAGTAGCCAGATATTAATGACCCATTCAGCATGTGCTATTTAAATGACCCACATTCACAGGAGAATCACCCAGTGCTTCTACTGCTTCCCCATTCCCTTCAATAAGAATATTCTGTGTAGGCAGGATAAAGATCAAACATGTAAGTCCTGTGGAATCACAAAACTATCTGCATTCCTGCCTACATGCCAAGCTTCATATGATTCCTATCTGAGAGGTAGTAAGGAGAGTGTCAGAAGTCTGTATCAGTGGTAAATAGGGTACAGGGAGTGAGGGAGGGGCCATACCAAATGCTGCAGAACTAACTGGAAGAGTCAACATTAATAAGTTAGGAAGGATACTATTTATAACACATTATTATCAGTGTGCAAGACAATAACATCAACTATACAACACAAACAGCAACAGACTAATCTATCTCACAGGGATATCAGCATGTCACATGTTGCAATGAGTCCTTCTATGTGAAATTAAGCCTTGTCACAAAACAACACAGCAGCTTAACGAAACACTAAGAACCACGCCAGTGGTTAACGACCCACATGCTGGATAAGCGTGTGAGGTGTGGCGTCCCTGAAGGGAGCACACAGGAGCAGGCTGATGTCTCATTCTGCTAAAGAAGTGTTTCCCAATCTGGCCCTCTGGGACCCACAGACAGTCCACGTTAACGGGGGCTGGGAGGGAGCAAAAATGTGGACTGTGCAGGAGGGTGCAAAAACGTGAACCGTCTGCGGGTCCCCGAGGACCACGTTGGGCAACACTGTGCTACAGCATCACTTGGCATGCACATCACACATTTGTTTTAAGGAGCACCATCACTGCCCCTCCCCCAAAAAGAGCATTAAGCCAATCACATTGAAGCACCTAACATCTGAGAGAACCACCAAGTGACTACAGTCAGGTCACTTCACAGTGAAAATGTGTTCTCAATATCAAGAAGCACCTCAGATGCCCGTATTTTCTGCTGACAGCAAAAGCCAGCCTAAGGTCAGCTTCTGTGGTACAATTCTATCAAAACATCGCAGGCATCCATGCCAAGTCAGTCACATGACACCCAGGGACAAATGCAGACAAATTCAACCCTGAAACTCAACAAATCACTTCCTTGCCCGATTCACTCCGATAAACTGCAACCCTCCTTTCTGCAACTCATATTGATTTCTGAACAAAACTCCAAAATGCACTGTTGTCGCGCCTCTTGACAAGCAACCAAAAGCACACTGCAGCTTTATGTGAAAGATGCGTCTGGATGAAGATATTAATGGGCCACTCCTTCGCAATTAAGTCCAGGGAGCTGCCATTCCACAGGTAACAGCGATGGAGGAAATAACAGCCTAACTCTCACTGATTGTGCAAAGATTTAATGCCATGTACAGGAACTGCAATCTTCCCATTTGGAAAACCAGTAGCACTCCTAGATTGTTCCAGCAACATTTTCCAACAGGTTTAAAACTGCCTCCCTAATTGATCTGGGTGACAGTACAAATAGATCAAGTGCACTGGTTTCACCCAAATTTCCACTTGGATATATACAAGAAAAACAAACAAATGTGGTACTTTGTAAAACACGCAATAAGTGGACAAATTCACCCTGACATAGGAATATGTTCAGCAAGTAAACATCTGGATTAGAGCCGTTTTCCAGTAAAGTTGGGAACAGCACAAGGACGTGAATTACCTCGAAGACAAGCGGCAGCAAAACCAGAAACATCTGACAACTCAGTAAAAGTCAGGGGGCAGAAGACACGCTGATATTAACTAAATATTAAACGTATTTTAGCTGAGAGTGGAGCTGTTAAAATGGAATGGATGTGCAGAAAGGCGCAGGAATAATGCGGAGAAACGGCGGGAGAGGAGCGGGGCTGTGAGTGGGATTCGCACACTTAAATGGGAATCATTTTAATTAGGGGCGCCGCAGCTGTCAGACTGCGGTATGCAGTTCGCAGGAGCACGGAGGCTGGAGCTCGGCCTGTGCAGGAAGGCCCGTAGGTGCACAACCCATCCTGCGGACCGTGCATCTAAAAGCTGCAGCCGAATAATGCTGCATGCATGTCGACAACCAATAAAACAAAAAAAGCCCCGAAGCAGCGGACCTGAACTGCGCCGGGTCGCCGCCTCCCATCACCTTCTCCGGCCGGGTGTGAGCTGCTCATAACTCGCCGTTAGCGGATCGTTACATGGGATCGGTGCCGACAGATAGTGCTCGGCGGGGGCTGTCAGGGAAGCGGACCGGCCGAGCGCCCTGCCGACCAGGGGGGTCCGACCGTAAGGCTACCGTCCTCCTCTACACAGGAGACGGGCTGGCCCGGGTGGCCCACTGATGAGCCAAATAACATGAAAGTCCTCATTGCAGCCAGCTGTCAGGTTTCAGGTCCGCAGAAAGAGACTCGTCTCGCCCTTTCTGTCAAAGCAGAGGTCTGCCGGGGCTACCTGGCTCCTGCCGCGATGGAGATAAGCGCCTCGGTGGCCGGCCCATAAATCCCACCTTCTCCCTGTCGGACGCCGTCGTCCCTGGTGGTCCAGCCGAGCCTCCCCCAGACAGGCACAGTGCGACCGACCGAAGCCCCGTCGGCATGCCGAAACGGCCAGTACGCGGCCTCGGCCTAAGTGCACCCTGAATCCCCGGCATTTCCTACAAGAATAGGCCGGCTCTTGCACAACCTCCGCGGCAGGCGGGCCTCCGAGCCCCGGGCCGGTGTCGACACTGAAAACCAGCTGACCCACATTAAAATGAAACCCTCCACAGCCCCTCCGAGCACTTTTGCTTAAAAAAAAATAAAAAAAATGTATATTAAATAAGGACGGCCAGTTTGGGCACAAAAAAAGCATCCGGACACCTCACATGCAAGGTCTTTGTAACCGCACGCCGGCGAGCCCACCCCGGCCGGGCGGAGCGCACGCCGGCCCGGTTCGGTAGCCGGTTCGGGAGGGGGGACATGGCGAACCTCCTCGCTCTTCAGGACCTCCTTGAACTCGCGCTTAATCCTTTGGACCGCGATGTTGGCCATGGCGCTGCTGTGTGCTGGGTCGGGCCTCCCTCGTCTCCAGCTCCTCGCTCGTATCCCTCACAGCCGCTTTCGGTCTCTCACTTCTCTCTCCCCCCCTTTCTCTCACTCTTTTTTTTAACCACCCCTCCTTTTTATTTAAAGAGGAACCGGAGCCTCTGCTCCCCTCTGTGCGCCCTGCACTCGCACCGTCTATTTATCTGTATTTTTAATGGTTACTGCGAGCCTCAGCATTCATTTTATTCCCTCATCACATGCGTTACAATGCAGGTCCTGCCATGTTCGCCGAGATTCGTCCAGCCAGGTCTTTCTGTGCCTTTTTTTGCATTTCGTCTGTCCCAAACCCTCCATGACCGCGCCACCAGGGTGCCCTGTATTCCCACCTGTTAAACGTGAGTCATAACGAATAATGAGTTTTAATAACAGCGACAGCAAGCCGTTTTCAGTGTTATGTTGAATATAGATCCCCGCGGTGACAATGTATGGTTTGACAATATCTCCGTTACTGCCGATTTGTGCGACAAAATATGGAAATAGCTAGAAATGGTCCGAATTTCCCTCTTTGTTGCTGTCAAAAAGCCCATTGTTCACCTGGAAAATTCTGCGACCCCAAGCCTTATTGAAAAGGGGTTGAAAATTAATCATGGAATCAATCACAATTCCATGTATGGAACATAGGTTCAAATCCCATGGCCAGCAGATGAAAAATATCATTGTTGGACACTTGAGCAAAGAGCATAGACGCATTTTCCGCACTGACCATACTCTCTGATCGTTATGTGTACATCGCTTTGGGCAAACACATCTCCTTATTAAATAGGCTAAAAGGTGTGTGCCGATATGCTTCAACATGGCTAATGCCACCCACAACATTAAATTGAAAATGTAAAATTTAATAAAATAAGAAATCAAGATTATCAAGAGATGCAGTTCATATATTTTATACAATTCTCAGAATGTTGATTTGTGGTTCTCATCAGCAGGATGGCTTTAAATGACCCTGAGCCGTGACGGTGATCATGCAGGAACGCAGGGTGGACCCACAGGAGAGCTGCTACGTTACTCTAGGACATTAGATGTTGATGACTTGGGTAAAATTTTGAGATTCCTTTTCATAAAAACAGGACTATAAGATTTTCTGGAATGTTCTTGAAGAGAATAATTTTATTGTGGTTTACCTGAGTAGTTTTGCTATCATTACTTATTTTCTGATATTTTTACTTGAGAAATACACCGATGATTTCCCTTCGTATTGTCCGAAAGCCCTGGAATCCTGCCCAGGGTAGACCCACAGGCTTCCCTGTGACCCGGGCCAGAACATGCAGTTGGAAGATGGATGGAATGATGTAAAGGTGTAGTCTGAGGTCTGGAAAGGTTTTAATGAACAGAAGTTTCAGCTGTTTTAATGCATACCTTGAGATTTTTTTTTTCGCCTGATGACTAATGTGTGTTTACTTGAAGAGTATTACATAAGTGATCCATCCTTAATAAATAATAAAAATATATATACATTGACCTCAGCCTGAAGTTCTACAGACCCAGCTTCTGAGAGAGGAGAATTTCACGTCTTATTAACACTGACAAGTTGAGGTGAGTAACTCATATTGGTGTACATTAAACCCACGCACCTGACACACCAACATGGAAATGACAGAAAATCTTGCACTGCAGAATCCTCCTCTTAAAGCCTGTCCTAAGCCACAGTCAATCCTAACACAGCAGGACTTGCAGGCAAATACATGATTTCAAATATGAAATTAATTCTGAGATCTTGCATTCGTACTCACTGTGGCGACAGGTAAAGTTTTGTATGGAATGTAATACAGGCAACTGATTGGGTATTTCATCGATCTTAATTTAGAAGTTTTGGGCTTTAACCATCACCTATCTGCATTAAAAAAATCCAAGCAGTAAAACATTATAGCGCCCTGCTGAAAATAATTAATTCCCTTCTCAGTAAGAATAAAAAAAAACTAAAAGTACAGATTAATCTCACATGCTGTTGTTGAGTAAAATCCCAATTTAAAGAAGCTCGTTTGCATGCTGACGAGTAAGATGCGTCTCCCGCGTGGCTCATCCTCCGGCTTCGGTGGAGCTGGAACCGCAGCCAGGTTACAGGGAAGGAAGTAGCGCAGTTTCCTGTTTTTACGCTGCCAAGTTCATATTTTCCCTCTTTGCGAAGCTAAAGCTGCTTAACGCCACCCAGTGGACATTATCCATAGAAAACGATCACTATTGTCTTCATCCACCGCCTATACACAGACTTGTATCTTAGTCTTTAGCGGTCACTGTAAAATATTCCTTGAAGCTTTTCCCTTGAAATCACCCAATACCTAATAAATCCGCGTTGGGCTGATTAGGTGGCTTATATCCCAGGAGGACATTATGTGGAAGATTGGAGTACGTGCTGGTGACCCAATAAGCCTGTACGATTCTCATAAGCCGAGTCCGGATTCCCTTGGCCAGCAAATTACTTTATATGCTATTAGCATTTATTATAATCAGTGGCGATTGCTGATCAAATATTTTAGTGTAGCAAACTCTTGACCACCCCCGGTATAATATCAGAGCTGAGAATATTAGTCATCACTATAAATGTAGTACAAATTGACATATTCATTACATTGATGTCCTAAACATTTTCCATTGGTTTCTAATTTCGGTCCAGTCTCCCCTGCCGTGGCAAATCTCAAGGAAACCGCCATTGATTATTATTCACATTTAGCACTCCATTTGCCCTGTCCCCATTTATACCGTTTATTATTAATCAATTAAGACTTCGAATCAGGCATCTCGCAGAAACAAACCAGGAACCTTTATTCCATATTCTTACCCACAATTCCCTGGTGTTAATCAGATGGATTTAGCTGACATTTATTTTAGAGTGTGCTTATCTTGGTCTGAATTGGAAGGCTTTAATATATGCTCGCACTGATCAGTTTTGAATAATCATAAATGACTGTTTATGTGATACAAGATAATGAGATGAAGCAGGCCCTGATTTGTGCCCTCTCCTGTCATTGTCACTGTGGTGAAAGAGAATTCTCTAATTTGGACAGCGCCCCCTGTGGAGGCGGACTGTTTTTGCCCAGGGACATTCCGCCGACTCTCCGTTCTCCATCCGTATGATGCTGCAGGTGGGTCAGGGGTAGAGGCTGCTGAACCTGACACTGAATCAGTCTAGCTGCATTAGAATGTGGGTCCTGTCCTGAAGCTTCCTTGACTGATCATCTGTGCAACTGCCACTCTTACCCAGCATATAAATATACAATGCTACAGGGCTGTATGGTGACTATAGACGGTCCTTTTAAAGTATGTAAGAGCTACATAAGTGAGGCAGTCGAAAATATTAATTATGCAATATAAATTATATTTTCTCTAAGTTTAGGAATTTTAATACTCTTTTAATTCTTTATACAGAAACTACATGTTCAATAATTAGTGACTAGGCCGTTTTAGCTTTATACTATTGTAGCTTGATAAATTCCCTGGAATGAACAACGTAAGTGCAAGATCTGTGTTTTTAACGGACTCTAAATAGGAGAGAATAATGAATGGTAACAGACTAACTGTTAAATCAATAGCGTAAGTACCGCAAATGGAGCACAACTGCAATTTATGGACTACAGTAACGGCCTGCGGGTGATTCTACTATTAATTAAGCGGTTAGGTAACAGAAATATGGAATATTCTAGGTCTAGTAACCTTAGAAACGACTCTTCAGGCAATTTGCGTTTAAATATCAATTCATTTGCCTAACCCATCTTCTAGCTGCCCTGATACAGTATGTTCTCAACACGTGAAAAAGAAAAGCGTGCTAGCGCGGGGACCACAGTGTAGAAGTGATGAGAGGCGTAAATAATCTGTGGATAAAGCCAGAGACCCAGGCTGTGGGTCTCTGGAGCAGCATGTAGCGTAATGTTAGGTAATGTTCAAATTCGGTTCAGATACCTGAAGGCACCTATCTTTATAAAATTGTGTGTGTGTGTGTTATAATACCAGGATATAAACGAATATGAATTGCTTGAGGTTTTGATATGAATTTACTATGGTGCGTTAGCTGCAGTTGAACACGTTACCGCTAGAGGGCACACTAACACCGCAGACACTTGACCTTCAGGTTCATTTTGCTCACAGCAAAGCCGGAACTTTATTATTCACTGACATTTTCATTTTAAATAACACGAAAACAGCGATGTGTGGTATATTTGGAATTAACTCCCAAGAACAATACTACAATAATAATAACTATACATATATTACACAAACCCACATGCAGATGAGAGGCACATTCAATTTTCATAATAAAACCCACTGCATGGATAGAGCTGCAAACACATCAGCCAAGGACGCCAGATTAACGCAAAAATATGTTTTCATCAGGTCTGTCTAACTTTCTCATTAATTTCCATATTTCAAAGTTTATTCTCTTATATAAGAACAGCTTATTTTCCAAAATTATATTTCTGCAGAATTGCAACACTACACCCTATCATTAATATTGCCATTAAAAACTAGAATACATGGACAAACTAATTACAGGTGATTTACAAACAACCTGCAGTGTTTGGGGGACTCTGTGTACTGGGACTATATAGAGATATGGGTATTTAGTCCTGCATAAGATCCAAAAACCACCTGGAGTGAAGTAAAAATAAACATCGATGGAGTGGACCAATGGGGATAAAGCTTGCCTCAGTGCTTTAAGCAGTTGTCATGGAAATTGTCACCCATGTGATGTATGGCGACCCTGTCCCAGTGGTTCTGTTGGCGATTGGTGGGTGCAGAGCAAGGCCGCGCCCTCTTCCTCCTCATGGTATTGAAGACGAGCAGCCCGAGTGTGGTTAAGGTGAGGAAGAGGCAGACCGCGAAGAAGAGCAGAGCCTTGTTTTCCAGAATCTTGCCACACACTGCACAGTCCTCCTGGGCCGCGGCCTGTAGACAGGGCTCACGGCTCTGCGTGGCCGGGAAGCCCTGCCGGGCGATTATCTCCCTATACACAGCGACGGAAGATTTGGCGCTGCACTGGTGCTCGGGGGAGGTGAACAGGCCGAAGCGTGGGCCATGGCGGTCCTGGAGATTCCAGACGTAGAAGCCCTGGATGTTCACGGCGTCTACCACGTAGGCTGGGGAACGGAGAGAAAATGGGTAATATCAGTCCAGTTCTTACTGAGCCACATACAGATCATACTAGTCCTTCCAGCCAGTGTCTGTTGTAGCCACTTTTTCCAGTGTGACACCACCCACTTTGATATGGTTACAGAGAAACATAAACCGTCCTCTC